CAAAGAGATAATCCGAATGAAAAAAATAACATGGAGATAATCTGACCGAGAAAAACAATGTAAAGAAAGTTAGAAAAAATATTAAAAAAATAAAAATAAATAAATAAATAAACTAACAAAAAAATAACAAATAACAAAAAAAATTAAAAATAATAAAAGATAAATTATTATGTCGGGGTAAACCAAACAATTTGGAAGGGGTATATGAATAAATTCCTTTTTTGTGGGTTATTTCATGTCAGTTCAGTTATAAAATAACATGACAATATATAATTAACATGTTAGTAAATATATAAGAAAAAAAAAATTGGTGATGTTTTGTCAAATCAGGTTATTTTACTAACATGTTAATTAGGGCCATCTTAAATATCCTATATATACCATATTTATGAATAATTTGAGATGCATAATTGATAATTTAGTTAGATCTCAGATATCCTATTAAATTAGGGCCATCTTAAATCCCTATATATACCATGTATTTTGTAGTCAGTTATTACAACTCATCCATAGAACGTTAAAAAAATCATATATGATGATTGTTATGCCTTTTAATATTGATTTATTTTGGTTTTTGATTTTGACAACTCATGACATTGTTTCCTGTAGAAAGCTTGTTGGAATGGAGAAGACATCCCTTGGATATGGAGTTATTGGAAATGGAGTTACTAATGCAATAGGTGGAGGAGGACATGTCACTAGTTGTGTTGCAGTAGCGCAAAAGGGTGATACTGGAGGAGGGCAAGAGGATTATATAAAAACATCACTCAGCGCTGCAGGTATGTATGTTAAAAATACTGGTAACGACAACGGCAGTAATCATGGTGAAGCCAACGATAACAGCAACAGGGGCTGCTTCTTCTTCTGTCTTAGTATTGACAACCGTATTAATAACACCATTATCGGTGGAAATCCTCCTGCCAATATCACTAGAGGCAACGCCCACACTAGTCAAATCAAAACGGACAGCATGAACGACAACAACATGAGCATGGATACAAGATACAACATCAGCAACGAAAATAAAATGGGTGTGGGAATCCACGCCAATAATTGTGGAAGATGATGACCTTTAAATGCAAATTGCACTTTTAAAATAAAATGGGGGCAAACACTTTGCTACCCCCGTCTATTTTAATCAACTAGATATGCAATTTTTTATTTTGTATGAAAGTACACGTTTTATCTTGTATCACATTAAATCAATAAATATGAATAAATGATTTACTGTCATTCATTGTAATATTAAAATGTATTCTCTTTATCAAACTCAAAACTATAAACTTTCTGTCATGGTTAACAAACATTACATATTTTCGCATCTGCTGAAAGAATCTTTCCAAAAGAATTTTCCATTATCCGCACAAAACTAATAATAAGTTATGTATCGGTTTATGATTCTGTTTTTCTGATCATAATTCCATGTAACTTGAAGAATACATAATAGCAAAGGTAAAGAAGACTAACTAACAAATAAAATCTTACATGGTAGATGAATAGAAGCAATGTGGGAGAACAACGAGAAGATATGATTCAGGAAATAATCTCATTAATAGTTTTAATTCTGTAAAAAAACAACACTACAAAAAAAAATAATAATTAGCAGCGACAAAAATTGTCGGTAAAAATCAGACATATCGCCGGTAAAGGAAATAGCAGCGACACGTCGTCGGTATTGCCTTGTCGCTATTGCTCAAAATGTCGCTAGTAAAGATATTTGCCGCTAATAATGATCGTGTCATCGGTAATACCCTATGTCGTCACTAAGAACTTTGTCGCCGGTAATTCCCTCTATCGCCGGTAATAATATCTTTTATTTTTTTTAAATTTAGTTTTTTTTAATCAACACTTTTGGTGGCAAAAAAACTGATACGTAACAACATTAAATAAAAAAAAAATTACGACATCCGATTAGGTACCAAATAATGTACATTATTTCATACCAAAATAAACAACCAAAGTGTTATAATCAACAAGTATCAAAGTGTCACAACAAGTCTAACATACAAAACACAAACTAATTATCTGACGAACCATCATCTCCATTCCCCTCGTTTCCTCCTATATCTTTCTCCGATTGAAAAAAAGCATATAGTTCCGCACTACACGGCGGGTCATTGAGCATTGTCCGAAGATTTTTCAACTACATAATAAATAACAACATATATAAACTTGTAAGTTAAACTATCAAACATAAATAAAAACTACCAAAATACATTTCTATTTCTTGCACTTAGCTATTTCTTACACTTGGGATAAAAACACAATTACCGAATCAACATGTATTTATTGTTGACCAAGTACATTGCTATTTTTAAACTAGGGACAAAAAAACCAAAGTACATTGCTATTTCTTGCATTTGGGACAAAACAACAATTACAAACACTATTACCAAATCAACATGCATTTATTGATGCCAAAGTGCATTGTTATTTTTAAACTAGGAACAAAAACCCAAAGTACATTGTTATTTCTTGCACTTGGAACATTAATACAATTACAAACACAATTACCAAATCAATATGCATTTACTGATCATTATATAGACATATGAGACTTTGAAATTAAGTAGTCTACTTTTTTGTGCTAAATAACCTTAAACACAAGAAATACCAAAGTACATTGTTATTTCTTCCACTTGGGACAAAAACACATTTATCAAATCAACATGCATTTATTGAAGCCAAAGTGCATTGCTATTTTTAAACTAGGGACAAAAAAACAAAGTACATTGCTATTTCTTACACTTGAGACGAAAAACCAATTACCAAAGCTTTTAGCAAATAATCATCACAAACCAAAATTACCAAATCAACGTGCATTTATTGAAATTAAATAGTCTTATTTTACTTGATATGGTTGTGCCTGTGGTGGTGGTTGTGATGGTTTTGCAATCGGCGGGATAACAGAAGGTTTTCGGCTGATGCCTCTGATATGGTCACGTCATTCACCTAATACTCTCTCGAAAGTAGCTCTTTCTTTAGTGAGCATTAAATCTTATTTCACCTTCTGGCCGTTGGTTTATTCGAAGAGCTCCTGCACTAATCGATTATGTGTTTTCCAAAAATGATTAAGAATTAATTAAAAATATACACTTAATTATATGATAAAATTATAATTAAATATTTACGTATTACTGCACCGCAACATTAGTAACAAATACACCATTTTTATCGGTATGAGTCTGACGGAATGTATCAACTCTCTTCAGGTTCTATTTAACATTAAAAATTAGATTATATTTTAAATAAATAATTACATATATCATACATTACCTTTTTATAGCAAGTACTGTTATACGAGATCAACCATCCATGGTTCACGGACGTTTGCAATTCATGTACTATTTTGTTTCATGCAGAAGTAGTGAAGTGTTCATCCGTTTGGAAATACTCAACGACTTTCCTCCAATTATCAACATCGATATCATACGGGGGTGGCTAATGCTCTTAGGATATCCTCATACCCTCTGACTCTCAAAAAATATGATTTTGCGTCAACTTTACACTCTCTAAAACCTTTTAACAAAGTCGCTTCAGAACTCTCTAACAACATAGCAACATCTGGATCCTGGGAAATCCGATTATAATCAAACTTTATCTATAATAACAAAAAAAGTTAGCTAAGTAAAATCCAGTTATAATTAACCATATAATATATTCTTATATGAATAATTTACCCTTAAGCGTTTTTTCGAGCTTAATGTTTTTCGCTTTTCCTCTAACTCTCCCGTGTGGCACAGCTACAAATATAGTTATAAATTATTAGAAACGGTATTTTATAATAACTCAATAAAAATTCATAATAAGACTTATCATCTTGCTCATGCTGACCAACACCTCTACCGCTTAGGAGAGGTGGGTCCTTGGCTCCATCGCGCCCATGTCCACGACCTATAACATCGACCATGGTGTATTAAAAAAGAACCATATCGACGCCATTACCGGGAAAATTATAAGATATATAGACACAATTTCTAATACAAATACATATTGTTTTTTTAATAAAAAAAATAACATTCTCAATCATAACAATCATTGATTTTATACCAAAAAATGTTAAAAAAGCAAGTGAATTAATAAAACTAAAAAATATTGCATATATGATGTAAGCGTTAAGATAAAACCAGAACTCAAATACGTGTATTTAGCTAAGTTTTCAACATGGTTTTGATTAAGTGAACACCAATGGTGCATATATGCACCCATTAGAGCATTCCTCTGAAACAAATATATATTGCATGTGAACCAAATAAATTTGCACATGTGTATTTAATTTGTACACATGAAAAAAAAAAGAAAAAAAAAAAAAACTTGACTGCTGACTCAAACCGTATGTATATGCATTTTTCTTTTGTGATTTTTAATAAAAGTTTGCATATATGCTCAGAAACATATGCAAATTTTTTTGATGGACATATGTATGATTCCTTTTTTATATATATACCGTATGAATGGTAACTTTCTTCAATAGATGCTTTCTACGAATCTTTCACAACTTCGTAGATGCTTGCCACAAATCTTCCATCGCCTATATCTTTCAATTTCACTTGTCATGTGTTTCAAACCCATTATTCACCCAAAGCCCTTAGCAGCGCCGATTTCTATAGTTGACCCGTCGATTTCTCATTTGTTTCATCCATGCCTGGAACTCCATCGACATCGACAACACTACATACACTCCTTTCAGTTGATCGCTGTTGATTCTCACATTCGGTTAGAAGTCGTCGCCTCCTGTGTTTCACCTACATCATCCGTCGGCTTCGACTTCTGAAGGAAAACTTAGAGGAACTGGGAGTTTGGAGCCGAAGTGGGTTACATCTTCAACATCTATGGTTTTGGAAGACTCTTTCAAAGGTATTGATTTCTCTTTTACTCTTAAGATTATTTCTTTATGTACATTACTCAAACAGTGTTTGTTTGTTTTCTCAACACCAGATTTCGAATAAGCACATAATATCTTCATCTCCTTGGGAGTAACAAAAAGCATTCGATATGAAGTAATTGGAGTGTACCGACATCAAATCACACACATCATCTTCTTGGGATCCCAGGTTAGGTAAATTTATTAGTAGATTTTTTATTTTGTCAAGTTTCGTGGCTTAGTTTTTTGAGATTGCAGATATATTTCTGGAAGGGAAGCAATAATTGTTGAAGTAGTTTCCTACTTCGAATCTGTGTGTATTTCTATCATTGTATCAATTTTTTTTTTTGTTTTGTATTTGTGTGTATCTATGTATGTATGTGGATGTATGTATTTGTGACACCAAACACTTTACCTATAACTTCACTCACTCCAGATTGGTTTCATATAAAAATCTTCCCAAAACCATTAGCATGTTGAAACAAGGTAGATGCTCTCTCATATTATATATGTTGGATTAAGGTGTCTAAGTTCATAACTAAATTTGTATAAACTTGTAATTAGAAGCAAAGTCATTTTTAGGTTGCTCTCATAACACTAAGTTTACACCAAAATTCTAATTCGACACTCTATTTTTTTGTCTCAAATTTGACACTGTGTTTTCTAATTTTTTACAATTCTGATCACTTGTTGACTGGTCGATCAGGTTACCTGCTGATGTGGCATGATGTCGTGTCAATTTTGATGATGTAGCATGCTGACGTGTCAAAATTGAATTTTTTCCCACAAAAGACATTAAGTTTATATTTTTCGATTTTGATACAATTTTTTTTTTAATTTTGACATTCTATTTTTTTGTTCTGATTATCATCTTTTTTCAAATTTTTTCAGTGTTGACCATTTTCTATTTGAAACTATATAAATATATTTTTTTATTACATTTTAAACTATATTTTTTCGTTTAAAAACCATATTTAATATAAATACAATGTTTTTTTACATTTAAAACATAATGTTATGCATAAATATGCATTTGTTATATTTTGAGAACCAAGCTTCGAATAAGATATAAAAATTTCACGGGTTGCAAACCTGTTGCAAACCTGACATTTGTGCCTTGACAACCTCCAAACTCATTTTAAAGTTGTGTATTTAATATAAAATACGGTTTTTATTTAACTAATACATATTTATACATAAAA